AATATATATTACATTACCTAATGTAAGATTATTTTCATTTTGGAGTTCTTTTTCCATAGTCACTGTAATTCGTGCAGTTTCAAAACTAAGCCAATCATTACTTAAAGTTTTTCGGTCAGGAGGTTTGTATGAAGCACATAAATTTTTACAAAAATCTAGAAAAAATGGATGCTCAACAATCCAAAAAGGAATTCCACAACATACAAAAAATCGTGTTAAAGCTTTGTGACACAATTCTTCTTGTCCAGCATCTAGTTTACTTATAACTTGGAATTTACTATCAATTCGTGGTTGGGCACTAGTAATAATATCTAATTCTGTTTTTGTTTTTCTTTTTTGATTTGGTACAGGAAAATTTCGTAAAAGTTCTTGTTTAATATTAACTGGAACTTTTTTACAATTTAAAGCCAAGTGTGTATTCATATTTAAGTCAGTTGCACGTGAATTTTGACCTTTACAATATAAACATTCCCAACCTTTATGACCATCACCATGTGGATTAATTTCTTTAAAATGATTATCCCAAAGCATATTTTTTGGCCGGCCCCTTTTTTTTTGACTGTTACTTGTATGAGCTTCGGGGTCTGAATCATTGGGAATTTCTGATGTAGAATTATCTTCCATTCTTATGATATTATAACTTATAATTACAAGTAATTAGGGACTTGGTTTATTCGAATTCATTTAATTTTGAAAAAAAACTCGTAAAGATAGCAAAAAAGAAACACTAATATAAAAAAAACACAAATAGTTGTTTAGATATTTAACCTGTTGATAAATCATTAATAAGACTTTAAGGCTTTTTATTTATGTTTAATGCTGAAGATGTTTATTGATTTGTACGTATACGTATTAGGCTTTTTATTATATTTAATGCTGAAGATGTTTATTGGCTTGACCCGGCTTTGCATATTTAGTTTTTAAAAAGGCATTACAAAAATTATGAATAGGCAAACAAGCCATTAACTTTCCTCAAACGCAGACAAAAACAATTGTTTAGCCAAAACCAATTTTGGCTGCTGGAAATAGTTTTGGCTACGTATTGAAATTATTTCGGCAGCCAAAAATAATATCGGATGCCGAAAATAATTTCAGCTGCCGAAAATAATTTCGGCTGCCGAAAATAATTTCGGCTGCCGAAATTATTTTCGGCATTTAGGCATTTTGAGGTGGTATGACGAAAATATAAAAAATATCGGCATGCCGTAATGCCGTAAATCATCTCGAATTTAGGCACCCATGTATACCGGTCGGGTCTGAAAAACCATAAATCCGAACCGAACCGTGGTAGGGTTCGGAACACTACCTAAAATTACAGTCGATATAATTTAAGTGTTAATTAGGCATTATCAAAATTGGCTATATCCTTAGTCACACCTTCCAAAGACAGTTCAATTTAAAAATTTTACAGTAATTTCATTAAGGAAATTTTTTTTTAAACTACTCCTGAAAATCAATAATAAAAGGTTCGGATAAATTCCGGCACGAAGACTTCCTGGCATAACAAATTTTAGGAGACTTGCATATCACCCAAACACAGTAAAATTGATTTTCTCAAAACCATATTCTTTGGTCTCTTATTATCGTATCTTTTTAATTAGTTAAGAATTATAATGATCGGTATTTCTTGGCGGCTATGCTAGGATGATTAAGTATAACAATGGGTTCCTCTTTTGAAATAAAATCATGTATAGTTTAGTCCGGGTTTTCTTAAATTATAAGGAATAGATATTCCACGGGCTATGAATTAGCGCGCGAAGCCGTGGTAATGCATGATGTCACGGCACACCGTGGAATATCTGTTAGATAAAATTTTTACTGATGATGTCATACCCGTTATTACATCATCATAAAAATATCATCAAAAATGTTCACGGGCGAACATATAGGGCCGTGGAATATGTGCCAATAAAATATGATTCACTGTCACTTATTGTGATCCAGTATCTGTATATTCTTTTAGCTATGTATTATATGTCGTTGATTAGTATTTAGACGTACTCATTGCAATAGATCAATGCAAAAGAAAAGAGTGAAATTAGAAGTTGTATCACATTAAATCTGATAGAGAATAAGTGTATCACTGGTAAAAAAAAATTTATATCAATAACCAATAATATATAATACAAATATTAATTTATTTCTATATATTTACTAGGTAATATATATATTTAAGCATATTAACTAATAATATGTTAAAATACATACATTACCTAGTAAATATATAGTAAACACAGTATATAGAAATAAGTTAATATTTGTACTATATATTACTGGTTATTATTTAGTTAGAATATAATTTTTTAACCAGTGTATCGTGATAAAATGTTGACAGCTAACCAAATTCAATTTTTTTTCTAACAATTAATAATCACTTTTCCGGCAATTGCGAAATCTGTTTTTTTTTCTTTTTTTTTCTTTGTATTAATTGCTTAAAATACTGAAATAAGAGTGAAATCATAAATGATTATATTACTTTTTCAATTCTTTACGACACATCCATATTACAGCGAAGCTTCAATAAGTGCAACTTTGAATCCGGCTCAAATATATACATGATCTATAGATTAGGGTACGCAAAATTTTCGTTTTGCATAACATGAAATCTAAAAAATCGGGTCAGCAAACGGAATTTCTGTCGGTCCTATCGGATATTTCTGGGACCTATCGGATGACCCCGGATAAAATTTGGGTGACCTTACAATTTTCTTCATTCTTTAAATGCCATGTTGCCAAAAGTCTAGTGTCGTGTTTGGAAACTGTGACTCGATCGCTCCACAATCCAGAATCTCGTGTAACAAACG